ACAGGTATGGCTGTGTTCTCATAAGACTTTATTCACGGAAACAAGGGGCAGTCCCATTTGCCTACTCCCCACACTAAGATTTTTTTTCTTTTTCTTTTAAATGATTTTTTTAAATGTTGTTATTGCCCAGCCAATGTGGCTCAGTGGTTGAGCATTGATCCATGGGCCAAGAGGTCACCAGTTCCATTCCTGGTCAGGGCACATGCCTAGGTTGCGGGCTTGATCCCCAGTGGGGCATGTGCAGGAGGCAGCCAATTGATGTGTCCCTCACATTGATGTTTTTATTTCTCCTTTCCTTTCTCTTTAAAAAGCAATAAAAACATATGTGAGAGACAAGCATCGACTAGCTGCCTCCTGCACACCCTTCACTGGGGATCGAGCCGGCAACCCGGGCATGTGCGCAGACTGGGAATCAAACCTCTCAGTCCATGGGATGATGCTCAGTCCACTGAGCCACTCTGGCTGGGCCACACTAAAATTATTAAAACATCAAGACAAGGCCCTCTGGTTTGAGAAGAGATTTTCAGTCCCTTCTCTATGAACTCTTTCTCCCCTCACTTGGAACATCCTCTGTACACACCAGTTATATAGATCCACACTGGCTTACAAACTTGCATAGCAAAAAAACAAAAAGTGAGAAGCCACAGAATCTCCATTTATTCATCATAACAGCTTGTGACTTCACATTCCGTGAAGTTCATGAATGGCTATTTATTCCTCTTGAGGTGATCCCGTGCCAAGAAGCTGAGGCTCATACCTGCAGTGATGAGGAAATATAATTGTCCTGGCTGGTCTAACCCAAAAAGCCAAATCTGAGACAAGGACTTATTTCCACATAGTTTGTTTTGAGAGGAGTTCTGGGAAACTGGAGTGGGGAACCTGAGAGTGAAACAGGAAAGGAGGCGTAACTAATGCAATGGTGTGTTACTGAGCTGGTTACCACTTTGGGCAACTGGGTCTCAATCCCACTGGAGATCCCCCTAAGGAACTAGGTCTCAGAAATGTCCACCTGAGACATAGCTTGTCCATTGGCTCCCATTGGTCTAGAGAGGTGTTCACTTTCTCACATTTCAAGAACTGAGCATGTCAGGGCACTCAAAGCAGTCCAGAGGAGGTGCTATCATGTTGTACCTGTGTACAGCTGGTTGTACACAGTGATGTACACACATAATAAGAAATTGAAATCGATATTCTATGGATTGAAAAATAAGTCTTTCTTTAACCAATGACTCTTAGTCACCCAGTCCTCCTCCACAGGGGCAATTTTTGTTTGTACTTTCTTGTATATCTTTTCAGAGGTAGCCCACATGAAGAAAAACAAATACTTAGTATTTCCTCTTTCCTAAACCACTGGTGACATACTATACAATGTCTACTGAACTGAGCTTTTTAAGATTTATATCTATGCATCTTGCTGATTATATATATAATTTTTAAATATATAAATATATATTTATATATAAATAAATTATATATATATATATTTACAACTCCCTCTTCTTTGGAATGACTGCATAATATTTCATTTATGACTGTACTTAACCAGTCTCCCTACTGATGATATTGGTATTTACAGTTATTTTTAAAAAGTCAAATTGAGTGAAATGTACATGTAGTAAAGTTCACCCTTCTAAGTGCACACTGTATGAATTATGGTTAACATATGCAATCATGTAGTCACAGCCAAGATGTAGAACAGTTCCATCACTCCAAAAATCTCTCTAGTGAACCTTTGTAGTCAGCTCCCTTCATTCATCTTCAGCCCGGCAACCACCGATCTGCTTTTTGTCTCTATACTTTGCCTTTTCCAAAATGTCATATAAACTGAACCATACAGGATGTAGCCTTTGAGTCTTGTTTCAGTCACCGACACAATTTGAGATTCATCCATAATGTTGCATGTATCCATGATTGCTTCCTTTTTATTACTGATTGATATTCCATGGTACATATATACCACAGCTAGTTTATAACCATTCACCTGTTGGAAGACAATGGGTCATTTCCAGTTGGGGAAATTATGACTAAATCTACTATACTGCGTTTTATATGAACATAAGTTTTTACTTCTCTTGGGTAAACACCTAGGAGTGGGATGACTAGGTTGCATGGCAAGTCTATGTTTGACTTAATAAGCAGTTGCCAAACTGATTTCCAAAGTGACTATACCACCAGCAAGATATGCACATTCGCTAGTATTCAGTCTTCTTATTGTCAATTGTTTTTCTTTCAGCCATTCTGGTGGGTTGATAGACTTTTCTACTATAAACAGTGCTACAATGAATACTCTTACACACATAGCCTTCAAAACTAGGAGGGACTGTATCTGTAAGGTATAGTCTTAAAACTAGAATTGGTGAATCAAAGGGTGTGAAAGGTTGATTAGGAATTGTCAAACAGCCTTCTGAGAAGGTGGAGCCAATTTACTCACCTACCAGTTAGGTATGTAATGCATGTTTCCCCACATCCTCACCAACGCAGTGTATTACCCAATTTCAGTACATGTTTTTAAATGCAACTGTACTTTAGATGATTGCTGTGTGAGTATCTACCTCATAGAATTGTTGGTGAGGACTTAAGTACAGCCTTAAGAGCAGTGCCTGCCACAGAGAGTGGCAATGGCTGTTAATTATTGTAGGAAGGCTACTACTGATCAATCAATTCTGTTTTTTGTTTGTTTTGTTTTGTTTTTTATCCTCACCCGAGAACATTTTTTTTTTTTTTTCATTTTTTGTTCAGAGAGAGTGGGAGGGAGAGAGGAAGAGAGAGTGGGAGGGTGAGAGAGGAAGAGAGAGAGAGAAACATTGTCATGAAAGGGACACATCGAGTGGCTGTCACCCGCACGACCAACCAGGGCCGGGGACAAACTGCAACCAAGGTATGCGCCCTTAGCGGGAACCGAACCCAGGTCTCTCTGGACCGCAGGCCGACACTCTTAACCGCTGAGCCAAACTGGCCAGGGCAATCAATTCTGTTTTTATTTGCCTCTCTCTCTGAGTGTATCATCATTGTACTCAGGAGTGCTTTTCTCTGAAGAGCTCAAACATTCTACTTATGGAATGTAGTTAATCATACATCTCTTCAGATGCTGGCCAGGGATTTGGGCATTACAGGACAGGGAAGTGTAACAGGATAGGACCTTTCTAAGGTAACAGATCTGTGTCCCAGGTCAAAATTAATCTACTTTGGACCAGAAATGAATTCCTCTAGGTTACAATGGCTTTCAAACTTTTTGAGTGCTACTCACTTTAAGAAATATACCGGGAACCAGAATACACACATATATACCCCAAATAAAAGTTTCAACAACAAAAAATCCTTCTGTTTTCTATTTATTCCATTCCATTTCATTGAAAATACTCTCATTGAGATCCACTAATAGATTTCGAAAGCTAATATTGGGTTAAGACCAGCAGTTTAAAGGGCACTGTTCTAGGATCGAGGTCATAGTTATTGGCCTTCTTGGCAATACAACTGGAATCACAGACCCTCACACTCAGTTTTGGGTACATTGTCACCATGTTCCTTTTTCTTCATTTCCTTGGGATGCTAGAGTTTATTCGTTCATCAATTATTTTCACAAATAGCTCTTGGATTCCTTATGTATTGTCCAGTCGTATTAAGTATCAGTGGTAGAGAACAGGCTTTGAAGAGCAAGAGGCCTGGATTCAAATCTCACCTCCCTCATTTGCTGGTGATTCTGGTGAAGTCTCTTCAGTCATCAAAGACTCAGTTTTCTCCTCTGTAAATTGGGAGTAATAAGAGAAAAATCGATGAACTAATGTGTATAAAGCATTTAGTACAGTGTCTGGCTCATAGTAAATACTTAATACAGTGGTTCTCAAGGTGTGATCCCCAGACCAGCAGCATCAGCGCCATCTGGAACTTGTTAGAAATGCAATTCTTGGACCTCACCCCGGATTTACTGAATCAGAATTTACTGCAGGGTTATCTGTTTTAACAAGTCTTCCAGCCCTGGCCGGTTTGGCTCAGGGGTTGGAGTGTCCGCCTGCAGTACCCGGGTTCGGTTCCCGTTAAGGGCAAGTACCTCGGTTGCAGTTTGTCCCCGGCCCAGGTTGGTCGTGCAGGTGGCAGCCACTCGATGTGTCCCTTCACATTGATGTTTCTCTCTCTCTTCCTCTCTCTCCCTCCCGCTCTATCTGAACAAAAAATGGAAAAATGTCCTCGGGTGAGGATTAAAAAAAAAACAAAAAAAAAAAACAAGTCTTCCAGATGCTTCTGAAGCATGCTCACGCTTGAGACTCTCAGGCTTAATACATGGAGACTATTAACAATACTTGAGGCTGCCCAGAGCAGTGGGCAGATCATAAAAGGCTTACTGGGCTCAAGTTAAGCACTAAGGTGCCAGTCGCACCCACAGGTAAGGTCTCCAACCTGCCTCAGTCCCCGCTCCCCTCCCCTCCCCCCTCCGCTGAGCCCACCGAGAGCTCGGGCGATTATTAGGGGGAATCTCCAGTCACCACCCACGCAACCACGGACAGCGTAAACTGAGAGAGGCGGGGGGGCTGGGAGCGGCGAGAGCGGCGCGTTTATTGGCTACAGACCACGCCGCGGAGCGCAGTGGGGCGGGGCTGCGCGTGCGCACGGCTGAGGCGCGCCCCTGGCGGCCGTTAAAAATGGCGACTGTCACCGAGCTGAAAGCTGGTGAGTGGGAGTGGGGGGCTCGCCAGGTGGAATGCATCTGGTCTGCAGCCTGAGACAAGGATGGGACGGAAGGAGGGCGCGCGGAGCAGGAGTCAGCCTTTCCGGGTGGTCGCTCCGCGGCGCCAGGGCCTGCGGAGCCGGCTGATGTGGTGGTGGCCGCTGCGCCAGGGCCCTGGAGGGAACGGGTTGCACGGGGCAGTTTTTAAACCGGCTTTGAGTTGGAGCAGGAGTCGCGGAGTCTGCAGGTACCTGAGAGCTCTACAGTCCTGCACCTTGGGCCTCTGGTGCATTTTTCTGGACCCCGCCTGGAGCCGAGGCCTTGACCTGCGCCTTTCACGCGGGGCTGATGTTTACAGTGTCCACAGCCGTTCTTGGTGTTGGGCGCAACCCTAAGCCATTTGGGTGGTTGTCTCACTGCATCCTTACAACCTGGGAGGTGGGTCCCGAGTTTCCATCGGGGAAAACTGGAGGTAGAAAGTTGCCTGGCCTGGCCATTCGCCTGTCTTTTTTGGAAAAGTACCAGAAAGGTGAGAGTCCTTAAGCTGATAACATTTCGACACCGTGTTAGTTTTGACACAGATGCCCAGACAGGTAGTAGTAATAATTATAGTTATCAGCGATTGAGCTTTATATGCCAGGCGCCGCCCAGCCCCTGTGTTAGCTAATGGAGTCCGTGTAACAGCCCTATGCCCATTTCAGAGATGTGGAAGTTGAGGTGCTGAGGGGTGAAAGAGGCCGCGTGTGAGAGCTAGATAATGCTGCACTAGAGCTCAAGTCTTAATTACTGAGTGATTAATTTTTAAAAAAAGTTTTCAGGGAATGAGGGGCCTAAGTCAGTCATTCTTAGAGATTTGGCTGGGAGGGATTGAATCTCTTTGAGATGAGTCAGTACCATTGATACAAATGTATATTTGTGGCACTGGGCTGGTGAACAATCATATAAAAGGCATACCTTTACCTGAACAGGCTTCACGTAAATCAGTGAACCCTCCCCCTAGGAAACACGTCACACACAGTATTGCATACGCCTTTAGAGGACTGATACTTAGGCATATAAGCCAGGTTGAGAACCCCTTTCTGAAGAAGTTGTTATGGTACAGTGTTTTAAGCATAATAATAGAGGAAAGGGCAAACTATTATGGAACCCTAGAAGAACTTTGGGGATTAGGGACATCCTACACAGGTGTAGGGAGCCCTGTATGTTTTCTCTTTATTCCCCAGTTCCGAATGTGCTTTGTGTTCAAGAGAAACTCAGTGAAAAATGTGTTTGCCAATAACTTATGTTTTGTGAGATTTTACCTTTTTTAAAGCACTTTCACATTTTTCCACCTCACTTGGTTCTGTCTGTGAGAGATAGAGCTCATGTTGGAAAAGGCAACTGAGGCATGAGTTGGGGATCTACCACTGGGGTGGTGATGAGATGTACTAAGTTAACTCCAACTTCATTCATTTCTCTGCTGAGTTTGAAGCTGTGCTGTGTGCAAATACAGAGTAATTGGGACAATATCCTTGCCAGTGGAAAAAAATCTTTCCATTTAATTTCCAAAGATGGAATTAGAGAACAGGGGTTCAGTTATGATCCCAAGAATACCATAAGGCTGTACCTTCCTTTTATGGGCCTGTTACAACGTCTGATTTGGTGATAACTATATGTACTTACATACTTGCAAAAAGTTTGAGGGGATGATTTTAAAATAAGGGGTAAGAAAGGTTAAAGTCTCGTCTAGAATGTATCTCTTTAATCATATGACCAGGTTTTTGTTGTTACTTATCAAAGCTTAAAACATATTTATGTTCCTGGGCTCCCTTTATGAATTTTCATTACTGTATACTTATTTGGTGCCTTTGACAGGGTACAGTCCAGTATTAAACTATATTTAGTATACCCAGTAGTATACAGCACTATATTATAACGCACCCAGGTAGTATTTATTGAGCTCATACTTTGTACTAGGCACTGTGTGTTGATTCCGTGGAGTTGTTATTTAGCCATTAGGGACAATTTGAAAAAAGAAGGTTCCAGACCTGTAAGTGATGGTGCCAATTCAGCCCCATGCCTTTACTACCCATACTAATATTTATAGCTAAATCTCATTATCACAACTACTTATATTTGCCATAATCAAGAAGTTAGGTTACACTGAGCATATATACCCCTGATTTCTTAGATGGCAGTGATATACTCTGTTAGATTTCTGAGTAGGCTTAACGGTCCAAAATCCTTTTGTTTTAAGGAATTCATTCATAATTGTCTTTAAAAAACCAAACCAAACCAAAACACAAAACCCACCTTTTCATTTAGAATGGGCCATTCCCAAAGATTTCTGGGTATCAGACGTTTTTATTACAAAAGACAGAACATATTTCTTCCTTTTATGGAATGTACATGTGCTTTTTAATCATCTTTCCAGACCAGAGGTGCTTAGGGACACACACAACCTGTCTGTAGTGATAACCACTCTTGAAACTATATGAGACCACGGGATTAAGCTCAGGTCCCCATATGCTAACTATAGTTCTTTCTCCCCTTTTTTCCTCAATAATGTGTATCAGACTATAGACTGTGTCAGTGACAATGTTAGAAGGATAAACTTGATTTTGCTTAAATACATGAAAATAGTGAGTCATTGCAATTTGGGAACTTTTTTATTACAAACATGGCTTGTGGTAACTAATGTGATCGTTGTTCAGTTCATCACAGTGTTTAGATTTAAAGCTACTGTTCATTTGCCTCTTAAACCATTTTCTTTAAGCCTAAGAATGACAAAATTTATTCTATGATTGAAGGATTAATCTTTTCTATTTAACAGTTTTAAAGGACACCTTGGAAAAAAGGGGAGTCTTAGGGCATTTAAAAGCGAGAATTCGAGCCGAAGTTTTCAATGCCCTAGATGATGTAAGTGAACCCCGACCAACGTTGTCTCATGAAAATCTTCTTATTAATGAATTAATTCGGGAGTATTTGGAATTCAACAAATATAAATATACAGCATCTGTCCTCATAGCAGGTAAGAGGTTATTTTTTTGTCACCTGAGACAAAATCTGCTTCTTCCTTTCCATCAATTCTAAGAAAGTATTTAGCCTGGAAATCTAATTCCATTATGAAACAGTGTCATCTGAGTGACTGGGACATAAATCACGTGGGCTCTTTCCATACCTTGAACAAGCTTTCATGAAGCTTGTATTATAGGGGAAAATATAGAACTAAAATAAGCCCTTATACTAGTTGCATACTTTTAAAAATCACATATAATTGTTTATGCTGAGAATAAACAGTTATTTATATTTTATCTTGTTACTGCCATGCCAGTCTTTTTTCTATGGATATGCTTTAAAAATAACACATATTTAATACATATTCTTCATTTAAAAATATACAACATTGGAGATAAAGCCTCAAAATATTACTACTATGTATGGTTAGGGATGTATACAAATGTATGTAAAAGCATAGTATTTAATTTAAAAAGGATTAGGATGGTAAACTCCAAATTCATTCTAGTGATAAAAGGGAGAAAAATGGTATTGGGGGAGGAGGTGGGCAGTTAAAGATAAATTTACGTTATCTGTTAAATTTTATTTCCTAAGAAAGAATGTAAAAAAACTAGAAGGATAGCCCTGGCCGATTTGGCTCAGCAGTTAGAGCGTCAGCCTGCGGTCTAGAGAGACCTGGGTTCGGTTCCCGCTAAGGGCATGTATCTCGGTTGCAGTTTGTCCCTGGCCCTGGTTGGGTCGTGCGGGTGGCAGCCACTCGATGTGTACCTTTCACATCGATGTTTCTCTCTCTCTCTCCCACTCTATCTGAACAAAAAAATGAAAAAATGTCCTCGGGTGAGGATTAAAAAAAAGAAACTAGAAGGATATATGCAATAGTCAGGATTGGCATTACTTCTGGGCCAGGTGGAGAAATGAGATTAGGAGGGTGATTAAAAAAGCACCTTGAGTATACAGGGTGGGGCAAAAGTAGGTTTACAGTTGTGAATATGAGAAAGTTTATTCTTGTATTGTTATTAATTATTATATTATTTCCCATATGAACAACTGTAAACCCACTTTTGTCCCACTCTGTGCATCCTTTGATTCCCTTAAGGTTTAATCTGTTTTAAAAGAATTTCATGTCTTAGATATGTGCCTCATCAAAGAATAGAGATAATGAAATAGAGTTTGGAAGAGAAAATGAATTCTTTGTGATACCAGAACTTTCCATTATAGATCTTTAATTTAATAGTAAGCACATATCTTAACTGAATAAAGACATTATTTTTTTTAATCCTTACCCGAGGATGTTTTTATGTTAATCCTCAGTCTGTGCTGGAGGGAGAGAGGGAGGAAGAGAGAAAGAGAGAAACATCGATGTGAGAGGGACACATCATTTGGTTGCCACCCGCACAGCCCCAACTGGGGCTGGAGATGAATCGCAACCGAGGTATGTGCCCTTGGGCAGAATCGAACCCGGGACTCTGGTCCGCGGGCAATGCTCTTACCGCTGAGCCATACTGGCCAGGGCAAGACATGCCTTTTATTGATTTAAGGAACTTTAATATCAGTATCTCCACTTTCCTCCATTATAGATGACTGTATAATACCATTAATATTCAGAAAAGAAGAAAGTTATGAAAATAGTATTAATTAGGTGTCTTGGACTTGAGCTTCCCTAGAATGAAATATAGTGACAATAGTCACATTTCATATTAGATGCTTTGGCTTTTTTTTTTTTTTTAACTGAGGTATAAGTAGCATACAATATATTTTGCTTTTTTTAGTATAAAGTTCTATGGATTTTGCCAAGTGCATACAGTTGTGTAACTACCACCAGTCATAATATAGAACGTTTCCATCCCTCCTAAAACTTTTCTGTGCCACTTTGTAGTCAGCTTCTTTGCCTGTCCCATACCCTAGCAACCACTAATCTGTTATCTGTACCTATCATTTGCCTTCTTCAGAATGTCCTATAAATGGAACCATATAGGATATAGACTTTTAAGTCGGCTCTCCTTCACTTAGCATAATGCCCTTGAGATTCAGCCATGTTGATTTTTTTCTCCCCTGAATAGCATTCCATTGTGTCAGTTGATGGACATTTGGGTTGCTTCTAGTTTGGGCAGTTATGAATTAAGCTGTCATAAACATTCACCAGAGGTCTTTGTGTGAACATGTTTTTTAAAAAATATTTTTATTGATTTTTAGAGAAGAGGAAGGAAGAGAGAGGGAGAAAAACATATGTGTGAGAGGGAAATATTGCTGCCTCCTGCACACCCCCTACTGGGGACTCTAACGTGAAACGGGCATGTGCCCTGACCAGAATCGAACCACTTGGTGTTTGGGATGCTACCCAACCAGCTGAGCCACATGAGCCAAGGCAGTGTGAACAGTGATTTAATTTCTCTTGGGAAAAGCTAAGAGTGGGATTGCTGCAGTGTGGTGTAAGTATATGCTTACCTGGATGAGAAACTGCTCAACTCTATTTCAAAGTGGCAGTATCATTTTTGCTCTCCTACCAGCAAGTATGAGATTTCCAGTTGCCCTTGCTAGCATTTAATATTTGGGTTAATTTTATTTTTAGAATTATTGCCACCAAATGGATATTGGTACTGTCAAATGTTGAATTCACAGGTTTCTCAGAAGCAGACTTCTAAAGCCTAGTATTGTAGTTTAAATGAAGAAATAGTATTTTCTAAACCAAAAATTAGATTAAAAGTGAATTTGTCTTTTTCTGCTTGGCTTGTTTCACTTAAGACAAATACCACATGATCTCACTTATATATATGGAATATAATGAATATAACAGTCTGAGGAATAGGGTAGACCCAGAAACACGGAAGTAGGGTACAGACTGACAACCCTCAGAAGAGGGGGAGGTGGGGGTGGGAAGAGATAAACCACAGAACTTATATGCATGTATGCATGACCAATGGACATGGACAACAAAGCCGGGGACTGGGCAGGGGGGGATGGGAAGGAGGGTGTCAATGGGGTAAAAAAGGAGAAACATCTGTAACAAAAATAAAATTAAATAAAAAAATAAATAAAAAATTTTTAAAAAGTGAATTTGTATTAAACTGTATTGTTATATATTTAACAAGATTATTTTGAAAGTCATAAATCATAAGTTGGATCTGCCATCGTCATTTTCCTAAATCTAAAAAATGTGTATACCTAGTCATTGTGTTTCTTATCAAAATTGTATTTTCTTTTTAGATTAATAAAGAGTCAATGTTTTTATGATCCCCCCCCCCCCAGAATCTGGTCAACCTGTAGTTCCATTGGACAGGCAATTTCTCATCCGGGAACTAAATGCATTTGAAGAATCAAAGGATAATACAATGTAAGAACTTATTTTTAAAATAAGGTTTCAGATATTGTTGTACTGGAATCACAGTCTCATAGTGGTGGTTTTATTTCATTTTAATCCAGCAGGTATTTATTTGGGTCTGGTGTGTGTCTAGCACTGCACCAAATCCAAGGTATGCACCAGTAAGCAGGTCAGATGAGGTCTCTGCTCTCTGGAGCTAAAATTCCCCTGGTTTCAGAGGACTGAACAGCCCTGCCTCTTTCTAAGGGGCAGTCCTCTGGCTTCTTGATCCATCCTTTTTTTCTTCTGATGCTTTTGCTCTATCAATTTTTCTTTCTCAGATTTAACTCTTCCTCCCCTTTGCTTCCTTCACGTCAACTTAGGAATGTACTCAGATCTCCCCTCTCCAAAAAATTATATCCACTTCCAACCCCAAGCTATTGCATAATCTCCTTTTTACCACTGAACTTAGTGAAAATCAACCCTCTGCTTTTATTTTATTACCCTCTCTGTGATCTTTCCTGCATCTTAAATTCTCCCCACACCATTTACAAAAAACTTGCTCTTAAAAAGAGTAACCACTTTCTAGTAGTTTCTTAGTTCTTTCCCTACTTAAGTGTTTCTTAAACTTTTCCCAGAGGATCCTGAACGGCAAAAAAAAGTTTTACATAGGCACCTGGGAACATAGCTCAAGGCAGTCTTTTCCTAGCAAGAAATTTCTCTTAAGTCTTATGTTTTCTCTTTTAAAAAAAATCATTTAATATTTTCATTCTACTTTATAGTGTAATTGTTTTACTATAAAAATGTTTTAAACAACATATAAATTAAATTGAACTCTCCCACAGATTTTTGTAGGAAATTGTTCCAGGATCATATGCCACCTTTATCCTGTAGTTTGTAGGTCTCCAGTTTGAGAAGCTCAGTTCTACTTGAGTTTCTGCAGCATTTTGTAATATTGATTTCACTCTTCCTTAAAACATATTTGGTCATTTGTCTTTTGTGACCCTTTACTGTCTTGATTTTCCTGTCTTCCTAATGGTGTTCTCAGTGTCTTTATTGGCTCCTTTGGGGTTCCTTTAAATTGTGGGCACTCCCCAAGTTTTGTCCTTTTCTTCTTGTCCTCCTGCCCACTTTTGTAAGTATTCTTGAGTCTTTAATGATATCTCCATGCTGATGACTCACGCGATGAAGTCACAGTGCTGTATTGACCTAGTCTGTGAAGTTGCAGAGTGCTCTTAAACATCTTACTGAACTCATTACGAGTGAGTTTAGCCCACACTCAAGGGGGGGCAAAGGCACCACCTGTAGAAGGGAAAGGGATGTCATAATTTAAACCATCACACCAGCTAATAAGTAAATATATATCAAAAAAACCCAATCCATTAAATTGTGTTTTCAATTGTGAGATTGGAAAAGAAAGGCAACACTTCTGTTGTACCTCTCTTTATTGTCAGCAGAGCAGCTTCTGTTTGCACGCGGGCACTAATATGCATCCCAGGCAGCGCATTATAAGGAAAAGAGTAAGGGACTTGGGGTTCAAGTATAACAGGTTTACTTAGTAGCTGTGGGATTTCTAGCAAATTTTTTTTGAGCTGTGGTTTTTCTCATTTACAAGTTGAGGGTGATGATTATGACATCACAAGGTGAAGATAAACTTAATAGAGGCAAAAATGTTTTATAAACTGTAAAGTAGCTTTTTAAATATTAGTTTTTATTCAACTCCTATATAGCTAACATTTACATACCGTTTCATATGTGCTAGGCACAGTTCTAAATATTTGACATTTATTTGGTCCATAATAGCCCTATGAGGTAGGGTCTACACTTACCTTCATTTATAGAGGAGGAAACATTTATGAGGCTGGGGACATTAAGAATTTTGCTGAGGTCAAGTAGCAAAGCCAGGATTTGAAACCAGGCAGTGTGTCTCTTGGGATAAGACCTTGTCTAGGCAAAGATTTATTAATGTGATAAGTGTTTATTGAATACCTGTTGTATATCAGAGAACATTAGGTACTGAGAAATTTTACTAGACTTTGGAATTTAAAAGCCAAATTCCTGTGTATTGATTGAAACTGTCTTTCAGCTTAGATGAGACTTAACATTTTTTCTCTGGGTTTTAACATTGTCTTTAGAGTTAAAATAGTACTTTTAAATTTAAAAAAGCATGAACAGCCCTGGCTGGTTTGGCTCAGCAGTAGAGCATCGGTCAGTGGACCAATGAGTCACTGGTTCCATTCTGGCCAAGGACACCTATCTCGGTTGTGGTTAGTCCCAACCCTGGTTGGGGTCGTACGAGAGCCAGTCGATGTGTCCCTCTCATGGTGATATTTCTCTCTCTCCCTCCCACTCTGAAGATAAACAGAAAAATATCCTTGGGTGAGGATTAAAAAAAAAGCATGAACAGTTTGCAATTTGTATAACTATGCAACTTTTTAAAAATATATTTTGCTTTTATTGATTTTAGAGAGAGAGAGGAAGGGAGAAGGAGAGAGAGATAGAAACATCGATGAGAGAGAACATCAATTGGCTATCTCTGCATGCCCCCCACTGGGGATTGGGCCCTCAACCTGGGCACGTGCCCTGACTGAGAATCTAGTATGCAACTTTTTTTTTTAAAGTTTAGTGAATTACTTGGCTATTTTGGTGTCAGAGGCTACCTTTTAAAACACAGATATTTTAAGCTTTTCCTATTTGTGCAAATTTAATTGATTTTGGTTTTCTTCCTGCTATAGACCTCTTTTATATGGGATTTTATCTCACTTCTTGAATGGAACTAAGGATGGCATCCAAAATACATTTCTGAAAGGATCTTCACTTCAACCTCCAAACCCAAATTCTGGTAGACAACCTAGTGGAAGAGAGCAGATGGGTATGAATTTTCTGAGATTTATCATTTAGCTGTTAGCAAGTATATTTTCTCCTTATATATATTTTTATCTTTGGAATAGTTTTTCCAAGCTTTTGAGTCGTAGTTTTATTCCACTTATATCTAATGTAGTTTTAACCTGGTGCTATTTATCTTCCCAAAAAACAGAATGCTTTTTGGAAAGAGAATCTTGCAGAGAAGCAGGGGAAATAACTGGACAAAAATTTTAGGTATAATTTCTACACAGAAATATTGAAAAACCTGAATTTCACATAAATTTGTACTTTCTGGAGCAGCTTAGTCCTTAGCATACTGAATAACTTTTTATCAAATCATCATGTTTTTTTCTCTCTAAGACTAAAAAGGCAAAATTGTTGAATACAGATAGAGAAATCACAGGTTTACGTGTCCTTTGCATTTTCAGGATACTTTCTGTGGTACAGTGGTAGGTATCTACAAATTTAAAAAATCTGCCCTGGTTGGTTTGGCTTAGTGTTTAGAGCATCAGCCCAAGGACCAGAGAGTTCCCGGTTTGGTTCCTGCTAAGGGCATGTACCTTGGTTGCATTTTGTTCTCAGCCCAGGTTGGGGTCGTGTGGGTGGCAGCCAGTTGATGTGTCTCTCTCACATCGATGTTTCTCTCTCTCTTCCTCCCTCTCTCCCTCCCGCACTATCTGAAGATGAATGCAAAAATGTCCTTGGGTAAGGATAAAAAGAAAGTTATAAGTAATAGAGTATTTCTTAACTGAGTTCTCCTGAGATGGCCTGTACCACAGTGGGCAGGGTGAGCTGGGAGGGGTGGAGAGAATGAGGGAGTGCATCAATTACTTTGGGTCCTTTCTGTATAAAGTGCCAGAGACATCAGAAAGTCGAGTTCAAGTCACTGAAGCTTTGGGTGCCTATTCTGTGGAAGACTCAGAAATAAGGATGACTGCTGAGCCAATAGAAGAACAGTCATTTTGCAAATTATTTTTCTTGATCATCAGAATTTTTCTTGGCCTCTTCATGCAATGACTTGCGAATTGTCGGCCAAATTTTCCATTATATAGCCTTGGCCGGTGTGGCTCAGTTGGTTGGAGTGTTCCCATGAACTGGAAGGTCGTGGGTTTGATTCCCAGTCAGGGCACGTGCCTGCGTTGTAGGTTTGATCCTGAATCAGGGCACATATGAGGGACAACCAGTCCTATGTCTCTCTCTTATATCATGTTTCTCTCTCTCTCTCCCCCCTCTCTAAAATCAATAAAAACAACTAACAAACTGCATTATGTTCTAGTAACACGTTTAAGCAGTCCATTTCCTTTCTCGACTCTAGCTTACTGTTCAAAGGATATATAAGTTCTATTTCACAACATTGACAAAGTTATGAAGATGTTTAAAAAATTATTCTTCAGCCCTGGCCAGTTTGGCTCAGCAGTTGAAGCGTCCACCTGCAGACCAGAGAGTCCCGGGTTCAGTTCCCGCTAAGGGCACGTACCAAAAAAAAAAAAAAATTATTATTCAGATTATAATACCTTCTTCACAAGCTCATCCAGCTGAAATATAAAACAGTAAACTTAAATTCTCTTTTATTTGAAAATAAGTCCAAAACATGCCAACAAGAAAGCACTTATTTTCATCAAAGCTTTCCAAGTGCTGAAAAAAGTAGAGGATGTATATAGACACACTTAGATTTGAAATCTAATCTATTCATTAGTGCCAATGATATTAATACTTGTCACATTGGAGGCAAAGTAGTATGTGTTTTTGGAGCTAAAATTGCATGTTTCTAACAACTTGTCTAAATTTGTATTTTTTCTCATCAAAATTATAAAAAAGATTTGTGTTTTATTTTTTTAGTTGTAAAATGTATTTGAGGAATTGGGGGTGGGGTTCACATTTTCTTAGGAATTTTGTGTGTGCATTGCATTTTTGTCCATAGGGTATTAAGTTTCTTAGGTTCTTTTAATCTAGAGCACTTCTGCCCTCTACCCTTTTCCCCCTATGACAAAAGAAACAGCAGAAGTGACCAGGGCCCCTTCTTCAGTAGGGCTGGAGCACAGTGGGTGGTTACAGGGGCTCTTGGCTCCTCTGAACTCTCAGGGAACTTTATTGTTTTATTTATGGCTGGAAAACTTTTTCTTGGATAGTTTTCTGATTTGGGTAGGAAAATGTAAATTGTGCTAGTTTTCTTCTTGCCACAAGAGGGTGCTGCTGGGAGGCATTTCTATTAGAAGAAATGCTTTTTTCCCTTCTTTTTGATAGAAGAGCTTTGACTTCTCTCAAAATGCTAATTAAACACCCAGTCCTTTCTTGTGAATTCTATTCCTTACATATAACATAAGAGAAGTTTGTAGCTACTTACCAGTGGGTTTACTCCAGGGGGTACTCTTTTCACTTAAAAAAGAATCAAGCCCTGGCTGATTTGGCTTAGCGGTTAGAGCGTCAGCCTGAGCATCAAAGGGTCTTGGGTTCAATTCCTGGTCAAGGGCTTGGACCTGGGTTACAGGTTCAATCCCTGGCCCTAGTCAGGGTCATGTGGGAGGCAATCAGTCAGTTTCTCCCTCTCTTCCCCCCTCCCAACTTCCTTCCACTCTCTCTAAAAATCAGTGGAAAAAATATCCTCAGGTGAAGATTAACAACAACAAAGAGCCCTGCCTGGTGTGGCTCCATTGGGCATTGTCCAGTGCACCAAAAGGTTGCTGGCTGGTTTCCTGGTCAGGGCTCTATCCCCGGGAGGGGGCGTGCAAGAGACAGCTGATCCATGTTCCACTTTCACACTGATGTTTCTCTTTCTCCCTCTCTCTCTCTCTCGCTAAAAATTGATTAAAAAAATATATTTTTAAAAGAATTGTTCTTATTTTTTAAAAAAATTAGGAAACTTTTGAATAATTAGAGTCCTAGTACAAAACATTTCTGATTTTTTTCAATAGTGTTTAAAAAGTTGTGTTTTTTATTGGCCTAAGCCACCTAAAGAACTCATATAATATTGAATATGTGACATCCTGAAATATATGTAGCTGTGTCTTGCCTACTGCTTATTTTAACTTGGGATAAGCATTGTCATTCATTTCTATTAATTTCAGATGACCACCTAAGAAAAGGGGAGAAAAATAATATTGAAGATCTTCATATTTCTCAAACCATGAAGAGATGACATTTCCATTTGGGGCATCTTTTATCTTAAAATTGTATGTATTAAATAACTTATTTATTTTCTTGTTGCCAAAATGCATCACTAATATTTGTACTTTGTAGAAATTTGAGTTGCTGCAAAACAAGTCTTTCATGCTTTACTGCATTTGTGAATAAAAGCTAACTCTGTCATCTAGCTTATTGGATTTGACTTGAAAGAAAATGTATTGTTTTTAGGAAGTTAAATTTTAAAGGTCCTTAGATTTGTGAGAAATGAAAGGGCTTTGTACTACCTTATGCAATCTTCTAAAAAAATTAATCCAGGTCTTCATAGTCATATCATCTGCTCTTTAGCATGGTATATTCATTCACTGCCCTTCAGGCTGGAATTTATGTGGGTTTGTAGAAAAATTCATCATTTTTTTTTTTAAGAACTAAGCCAGAAAAAAACTAATTTCTATAAAGTTTGAATTTTTGATTAGCTATTTTTCAGATAACCGCTTGTAATTAGATTAAAATATCTAAATTACTGTCTAAAATTGAACTTTTAAACTAGGTAACAATGTACTTTTTCTTTCCTTAGATCATTTTGGCCTCTACTGGAAGATTTAATTAAAATGTAGAGGGGGGTCTAATTCTTTTAATTTTGCTGTAAGTAAAACAAAGAGTTTATTTTATTCCTTGAAGAATGTGGAATCAGCATGAAGAGACAGGCTTTAGGAGAATACCAGAAAGTACCTTTTAAGAGATGCCATTGTTTAATCTCCATGTGGCCTTCAGTTGCACAATTATAAGATGAGCCATGACAGGACCAACCCCTAGTTATTTGGGCTCTGAAAGTCTTATCAAATGTCTATTTTTGTTCTTGGGATAGAAAAATAGTAAGAGCTGTCATAATGCTATCTCTAAAATGCTGCTTTAATATTTATTAAGATATTTTTATAATGTGGAGTCTACAGACTGTTACAGTAGAGAGCACCTGGCTGGCAAAAGCCATAGACATACTCAGAACACAGCTGCCTGGGTGCTGTACACTGAAACATTCAGCTTAAACATTTTCCCTAGGGAAGTGATTAGGGCTGCAATGGGTAAAATTGGCCTTTGGAGATTATTGAATCTTTTGATTTTAGTTTTGGTGCTAGTTATTGTTTAGTCCTTACAGATTAACCAATAATTTTTATCTGGATGCACAGAATTATTAAAGAAACCCCCTTAAACCATATTTTACATGTCAAAGGATTTTTAAGAAGCCCTATTGGTGGACTAAAATTACATAAATAGATATAAAAATATTATAAGAGTTCACTTCCATTTTTAATATGAAATCTGTAGTATCTGATTATAATTGTGAGTTTTATTGCACGTGGGAATATAAATATCTGAATTTTTCTCAGAGGGCTTGGTTTACACACAAAGATGTTGGCTGTGGGCGCTAAGTTCACCTCAGGAATTGCAGTCCTGCAGCACTAGATTAAGAAAAAATGCTGGAGTTTAGCACTTTGGATACTGATGTGAAATTATCAAAATAGAAGCTGAACAGAATTGTCACATGTAGTCCATTGTGGTTTCATATGCATTATTCTGTAATTGTTTGTACCTGGGCAACTTTTATAGTTTTGATGTCTCATTTAATAAAAATAAATAAATAAAAAAACATTAACTCACTTTTGTGTGACTGTTCTGTGATCAGAGCTGTAGACCAGAACTTGGCGATGGCTCTCCGGGTCTTGCTTTGGGATCTCCAGCAGCCTGGTTGTTGGCGGGGATAGAGTAGGTTGAGGAGGGAACTTTCCCTGATGTATGTGTGTTCGGCATCAGCTGTCTCGTCTCTGAACAGTAACTCTTCATGGGTGTCAGTGGTCGGGGTTGGGGGTGTCCGTCTCTGGGGGGACAGTATAAAAAACGGTGGGGCCAGATACATGGTTTTGTTTAGTATTACATTTTTATGTTTGGGAAAGAAGAAAATACCTATTTCCAAACTACTATGAGATTTTTATGATGATCCACAAAGGATTTGGGGCTAAGAAAATCTGCTCTAGAAATTTATATACTCAGGATTTTACAACACTCAATTAATTTATAATACAGTAGTTTTAAAAGATGCATGGGTTAAGATAGTTAAAAAAATAAAGGAAAGACAAATAGAAATATAGAGAACCTATCAAACTATTCTCATAAATTTATAAACTAAATTAGTACATCATTGCTGGTGGTTTTCATGGCATTGTTGGGAGACATCTTCCAGAAATGTGGGAGAAAAGCTGGGTTTACACGAAAATAGTACACAAATCGGAACTAAAGAGGGATTTAGGAAAAGCGGAAACTTAAAACTTAGGCCATCTAAAAACTCAAAGCAGGAGCAGAGTGTCTTTTGAAGATGATAAATTTAAGTTTAGCATATATGTTTGCATAGAATAAACTAATAGCTTTATAATTATGTGCAAGAACACATTTGTATATGACTGACATGCCTGTATGATTATGTAAAATCTGATGTGTTCTTTTAACCTAAAGCCAAGTGTACACAAAGGATTACAATTTGTGAGAATATGCCTTTAAAGGCATTTGGGACAATGCTTCCTAGCCAGTTGGTATTTGATCTTTATAATAACTTCTGTAAGGATCATGTGGTTTTTGTAAAATTTGTTTTTAAATGAAAGAGGTAAAACTACCTTTTTTATTTTTAATTTTTAAAAAATGTTTTGTTCATTTCTTTTTTTTAGAGAGAGAGGAAGGGAGAGAGCAATAGAAACATCAGTGTGAGAGAGAAACATCAGTTGGCTGCTTTCTGCACGCCCCCTACTGGGGATCGAGCCTGAGACCTGGGCATGTGCCCAGACTGGGAATTGAACCAGGACCTCTCAGTCCATGGGACAACACTCAATGCACTGAGCAACACTGGCCGGGCAAAAACTGCTTTCAAAAAAAAAAAAAAAATAGACTTTATTTTTTAGAGCAGTTTTAGGTTCACAGCAAGATTGAGAGGAAAGTACAGAGATTTTTCCATATACCCTGCTCCCCCCACACATGTATAGCTTGCCCCTTCAACATCCCCTACCAGAGTAGTATATTTCTTACAATTGATCAACATACATTGACACATCATTATTACCCAAAGTCTATAGCTTATGACAGGATTCACTCTTGGTGGTGTATATTCTATGGGTTTAAACAAATGTATAATGTACATGTATCCAATGGTATCATATAGAGTAATTTTACTACCCTAACAATCTCTCCATTCTGCCTCTTCATCCCTCCCTCCCCGCAACCCCTGACCACCACTGACTGTTCTTTCTCTTATTTTTTAATCCTCACTTTTTCCATTTTTTTGTACAGATAGAGTGGGAGGGAGAGAGAGGATGAGAGAGAGAAAAACATTGTCATGAAAGGGACACATTGAGTGGCTGCCACCCACACGACCATACAGGGCCAGGGACAAACTGCAAACGAGGTATGTGCCCTTATCGGAAACCGAACTCGGGTCTCTCTGGACCGCAGGCCGACGCTCTAACCGCTGAGCCAAACCGGCCAGGGCCTGACTGTTCTTTTTACTGTCTCCAAAGTTATGTCTTTTCTAGAATGTCATATATTTGGAATCATACAATATGGAGCCTTTTCAGATTGGCTTCTTTCTCATAATCATATGCATTAAGGTCCATGTCTTTTCATGGCTTGAGAGCTCATTTATTTTTAGTGCCAAATGATATTCCATCATCTGAATGTACCAAGTTTATCCATTCACCTACTGAAGGACATCCTAATTGTTTTCAAGTTATGAAGGAAGCTGCTGTTAACATGTGTGTGCAGGTTTTAGTATGGACATTAGTTGAACTCACTTGGATAAATTCTAAGAAACATGATTTTCTGGGTCATATGGTAAGAATATCTTTAGTTTTGCAAGGAACTGTTAAACTACTTTTATTGAGAATCCTAGGACCCTTCCCGACGGGTAGAGAATCTGGAGTTACTAGGACACCAGCGCTGGAAATGGCGAAGGAAAGAGCATTACTGTGCAATGTGGTCTTGTACCTGGAGAAGCAGGAGGCTGTCATGAGTAGAACAAGTGCTTTTGTGCAAGAGAGTGGGAGCCCAGCAGCTCTCTTGGGGAGGAATGATGTTCCTTTATTCACAAGAGGCAGATCCTGCGCAGATCGTGAGCTCGCTGAGTGCTGGTACACTTTAAGTGATTAATGGTGAAGCACATGCAGGAGTAACCATGCTTGGACCCAATCTCTGATGCTACTAAAAACTAGAGGCGTTTATACTTTGGAGCTTTTTAAAGCCAGTGGCAAATATAAAGCTATGTGATCAAAAGACTCCAAGAGAAAATCTCTCCTCTGCCATCTTGTTTCATGAGTTCATGGGAGTCCCATTACAGGGCACCTCACAGAAAAGACATGCCGAGGACACGTTCTCCACAGTTCTCAGTCGGAATAACATTTTTTTTTTTTTTCCTCACCCGAGGACATTTTTTTCCATTTTTTGTTCAGGTAGAGTGGGAGGGAGGGAGAGAGAGGAACAGAGAGAGAGAGAGAGAAACATCGATGTGAAAGGAACACATCGAGTGGCTGCCACCCGCACAACTGACCAGGGCCGGGGACAAACTGCAACCGAGGTACGTGCCCTTAGCGGGAACCGAACCCGGGTCTCTCTGGACCGCAGGCCGACGCTCTAACCGCTGAACCAAACTGGCCAGGGCTGAATAACTTTTTTAAAAAGTAACTTTTGTGTTTCCCTCAATCTGAAAATAACTGGATTTTTGAGCTATGAGAAATAAAATGGAGGCATCTGACTTAATTATAGTAATAATGCACTTAAAAAAAAATCCTAACCCAAGGATATGTTTATTGATTTTGAGAGAGAGAGAGAAACATCGATGTGAGAGAAGCATTAATTGGTTTCCTCCCATACGCACCCCGACTGGGGAACAAGCCCACAACCTAGGTATGTGCCCTGACGGAATTGTTCCATACGGGACAGCACTCCAAACGACTGAGCCCCCCTGGCCAGGGCTAACAGTGCACTTTTGAAGATCCAAACATCTGGTTTCTGCACTGGACAGATATTTATTGAATGACTGTTATGTGCACATACTGTCCCTGAGTACTTCTAGCATGCACCAGCAGGGTATGAAATGCTTTACATAAGCCCTTCACGAGTTATATTTAATAGCCCAGTATTTAGTTGAGGCAAAGATTCTGACCATCTGTGCTTTTCGTGGAGAAAACAGTCTCAGAGAGTTTCACTGACAATCCTGAGGCTGCCTGGCTGGTGCTTAGCAGATCATGAGTTAAAAACCTCAGACTTTGCTTAGACAGCCAAGGTTTAAATTCCTGCTCCACCACTAACTAGCTACCTCGGCTGGTTAACTCACTGAACCTGGTTTCTCAATAGCAAAATGGGAGTGGGAAGGTTTTTTAAAGGACTTACTTTTTAGGGTTGTTATAAGGATTAGGTGAGTTAATGCAGTAACAGTCTGTGTTTGGTTACCAACTTCTTTCAAGAATCAAATGCAACCCCTTTGAAAGTGCCCACGTTAATGCCCCTGGTGAAAATGCCACTTCTTACTGTGAGGCCAGCAAGTTTGACAGCCTGCTCTGGATTTTCTTCCCACAATGGAGGTGGGTAGTGATCAGCTTAGCTTCCCCCCTTCCTTTCTTCTCTGCTCCGCAGCATTTCTGGGCTAAGCAGGGACAATTTCCATTCCTTTTACAGTCTAGGCATTAAAAAGCACGTGGGAAGCAGCCCATTCATCATTTTCTGAAGAACTTGACCCCTAACTTCCCCAGCCAGCTGAATACTGTCTCTGGACTCTGATTTAGGCCCATCTGTGGCCATGGGGCAGGGCTTGGGTGTTTGGGGGGATGAAAACCAGGTGAGTTTGATGTTGGAAGGATGAGGAGGGGACCAAGAGGGAGTGGAAGGCTGAAGGCAGACACTGTGGGCAGGACAGGCGCTGGCTCACCATAGTGTCTTCAAGGCCTGGTGCCACTCTACTTGGTTCCATGTTTGCTGAGAATGACGGCAGCTAACAAGACGCTTGTTATTTTACATGGGTCATTCCAAGGACTGTTTACAAATAGCCAGGAATAGCTGATGTTCTTCCCATGTTACAGATAGGGAAACTGAGACACAGAAGGGTCAAGTTATTTGTCAATGGTAACAGCTAGAAATTGGCACTGGCCCATGCAAACTCAACTCTCCTGGTCATTTCCCTTTAGAATCTCTCTGGAGGTGAATCATGGCAATGGTGGGTTCCAGTCCCAGTGAGAGCTGGGGCACCCCTCTGGGACCTCAGTTCTCTCACCTGCAAAATGAGGCTATTAATAAAGCGCCCCCCCCCATCACCTGACCTGTTTACCTGAAGAGGGTTTGTGGACTAAGACGGGGTATATACCAAGCAGAGAGCCCCGCAAGGGTGTTCAGCTCCTTTAACCCTCTGGCTGGAGCCCACGTGGAGCCGGGGCTCTGCGCCAAGCAGAGGGGTCCTCTTTGCACCTGGCCAGGCGCTGCCTCCAGCCACGGGAGGGCTGGGGGTTTTTAGGTGAATACAGGTGAGCTTGATATTGACAGGATGGGGAAGGGGCCAAGAGGGTCTGCGATGCAGGAC